CACACACACACACACACACACACACACACACACACACACACACACACTAAAAACATAATTATGGATAAATGATATGATAGCTAGCATTTGTATTTGAACAGTAGAATGACTTTAAAATCTGCCACGTGTTTTAGTACTTTGGAGATGGGGTATATATTTAGGACTCATTCTATTCTTGTACTCCAGACTCCCCCAATAACTCATGTATATTCCTATTAGAAAACTTTCATCTTGTAAGAGCATTACGTTCTTCTTTATATTTGGGAAAGGAGTCTAAAGAAAATGGGAGATAAAAGGAAGGCGTAGGGAGATATAATCATTGTACCCATGTATAAAATATTAAAAATATTTAAAAATTACTTCTAATTATCCATTCATATATTCACCAATCTAAGCTCCTTTCCTTTTAGTGCTGAAGCTGCAAACACTGAAAAGCAGTGAACCTTCCATAAAATGAGTACACTAATATAGAAAGGCAGTTAAGAGCAAGCAGCTGAGAGCGCAAAGGAGGGAATACTGGGCAAAGGACATTTCCAGAATGCCCCCAGAAGTACCACCCTGACCACTACTTATTTCTAAGTTATGTGGCATGTGCATACTTGGTTGCCGGATGTCAGAAGCCACCAGCATGGATCCCCTAGAGCTGGAGTAATACGTGTTTGTAAGTTGCCCAGCATGGTGCCAGGACAAACACTTCTTGTCCTAAGAACGGTACATCCCCTTAACCACTGAGCCATCTCTCCAGCCCTGGGAAGCAACCATTAACTTTTAAAAAATTGTGATCTTTTTCTTTTCCTTTACATCAAGATCAGCCTGTGAGAAGTTTCTGAACCCATGCTAGGAGAAAGACAGGCTTGGGGAAGCACAGAAGTAGACTGAAGAATAGGATGGAAAAATAAAACGTGGGATCATTGTATACCAACACATTTCAGAATTGACTTTCAATAGCGCCCTTAGAAATGTCCTCACGAGGAGGGAAGAGGCACCCTTGGAATATAAATAAATTTAAATTAAAAAAAAGTTCACAGTCTAATTTCCATGTGGACTGCATCAAATGCCTAGATATACTTTATGTGGAACTCTTGTGACACGCAGCTACAGTCTTGAAGTGCCTAGGCCTACCGTCCTGGGAAAACTACCTCTAGTCAGCTGTGTACACCCTGGCCTTACTACTCGTCATGCAGAAGAAAGCTCCACATACTTGTGATTTTAAATATAGACAGATACAGCTCAAATCTGTAATATAAAATTTAGATTTAAATCTTAAATAAATGAAGTGTGAAGGGCCTGATGAAACTCTATCATGGATGAATTGGGTGCCTTTCCATGACAGCCTGTGGACAACATATAAAAGAAGAGAAAACTTAAAATTTAATGAAACTTTACCAAGGTAGTTTTTCTAATTTTTGGTTTTTAAAATCTGCCCACCTAGAATGCTGCCTGTTCAGTATCAAATTATAAAAAAAGCCCATCTTTGTAGAGAAAGTCTGCATTTGAGGTGCACAAAGAATACTCAAATCACAAAGTGGTCAAGATTTCCTTTTACTTGAAGAGAAAAAAAAAATCACTTTAGTCAACCTTCATGTACAAAAGACAAGACCAATCACGTTTATCACTGGACACAAAGGATATTCCAAAGGCCTTTAAAAATGGCAACAAACATCAAAAGGAAAATCATTTTAACTCTTATATTGCATTCATTATCAACACCATACTTAACAAGGTAGTTATGCTATTGATACAAAACATACAGTATTTACACTTAACTGTACAAAATAATTTAATGTTTACAAAAATATTAGAATGTTTAGTTGACTGACACAGTCTTAAAGTAATTGCTTCTAGAGAAGTATATAGGAAGACCACTGATTCCCATTCATTTCTTTTTTAATAAGTCAAAGAAAGGGTGCTGCAATGCTTCATCCAAGGTAATCCTTTTTGTTGGGTCATACTCCAACATTCTTCGAACCAGGTCAAAGAGCTTCTCATGCTCTTCATCATGACAGAGCATAAATTCCTGGGGTTAAAGGGGAGGGATAGTCTTGTTAAATGAAGACATGAGTGAAACTGTTGCTTAATCATTTATCTTTTTCCCTTTACCTTTAATGGCTTGCAACGCCTCCTAACATATCTCCCAGCTGAACTATGTTCATCCCAATCTAGTTGGTTATGGTGAAAATACTTGCGTTTCCTACAAGAGAAAAAAAATAAATTAAAATTAGTAAAATAACCAAAGTTCTACCTCTTTACCTTGTCTTCAACCCCTGGTGGGGACAAGAAAGAAACAAATCTTTCACTAAATGTACACACATATACCATGTAATTTTAAAAAATATCAGCAACAATCATACATAATAACTTATATAGTGCCTTCCTTGTTCATCTACCCTGGGGAATTATTTCCTAAAAATAAATTATTTATTTGTTTGTTTGTTTGTTTGTTTGTTTGTTCGTTCATTTTAAATTGTTCTGCCTGCATGTACACCTTCATGCCAGAAGAGGGCCCCAGATCTTATTATAAATGATTGTGAGCCACCATGTGGTTGCGGGGAATTGAACTCAGGACCTTTGGAAGAGCAGTCAGTTGGTGCTCTTAAACTCTGAGCCATCTCTCCAGCCCCTATCCTGAGGGAATTTTAATTATCTCACCTAAGCTGTTCACAAATGAGAAAATGCTCACTTTAAAAGGTAGCCTCCTGGCTGTGAATTCTGATTTCACCAGATATGGAATGAGGTTGGAAATCTTTAACAACTTCCCAGGTGATCTAGGAAACATTATAGTATCCTGTTCAAGGGTGCAGAGCTGGCTAGCAATTAACAGGAAATTCAAACAAGACTGAAACTCCAGTAAGAATGGGCTCTCATATGTATTGTTTTTACATCAACTTAGAAAAACATATGCATAAAAGTTAAACCAAGTACTAAAATAAAACCCCTTTCTCTATAAGAGCACAAGTTAAAATACTGAATTACTTTCTGAAAATGACCTTTTTAAGCTACAAGTTATCACTTGTACAGAATTTCTTTCTTTCAAAATCTGCAGTCCTTGAAGCAAGCATTACGCTTCTATAGTCTAAGCAAAGGCCAATGCACGCATCCTGGACAAACCTTGTCTTTTGGATCATGTGTGCTGGGATGGGTCCTAATATCCGCTCCATCATTGCCAGGTGCTCTTTGCTATCATGAGTCTAAAAAAGTTCAGGAAAAAGGAATTTAGCACTCTCCACCTTCCTTACATGCACATAATGAAAAGTAAAATATGCACTAATATAAAAGAAGTAGATTAAAGTCAGAGTGACGGGTAAAATGTTCTCGCCACCAAGATCAACAACTGAATTTGATCCCTGGGACTCTCATGGCGGAAGAAGCAATCCCCACAAGTTGTCTTCCTCATGTGTGTACCCCCAATAAATAAATATAATAATAACAAGAAGACTAGATTAGCCCAGCTACACAATTTACAAGATAAATTCTTCAAAGATGAATGACCTGAAAGAGCTGTTGTCTGGTGTAAACACTATACAGTCCAAGATAAATTGGTGAGATCTATAGGGTAATCAACATGAAAAGTATAACACAAAATGCAACCACTTCTATTTCAAGATCTGGGATCACTAATTCCAGATAATATAGCAAGTCCAATAATTCTCACCTCTACTGTGAGCTTTATTTAGAAATGTGATTTCACAGAGATTAAGACAAAGGCATACAGCTCACAAATAAGCAAAGCTGACAACAAACCCAAGTCAAGAACCATGCTAAGTCAGAGAAGCAGCAGCTGTACACACACGTGAAACGGTGTCTCTAGAGCAAAGGCCAACCAACCTTCTCTCCAAAGAGCCAGACAAAAACCTTTTAGGATGAGCTGCTGGCAAAAGGTCTTTTTTCTTTAATAGGCAGCAGGGAGTACTTCCACAACAGCCCACTATTTGCCAGTCTTTGTTCTAACGAGCAGAGACTGTGCTTGTTTTGGTGAGACAGATTCCCTTTGTAGCCAAGACCAGCCTGAATTTCACTATAGTTGAGGTCTCACTATCTTGAGCCTCCTAAGTGATATAACTATCAGCAATGTGTCACTATACCTAGCTGGTTCTACATTTTTATGCTTTTATTACTTTTATGTGTTTAAGTAACAGGGCTAGCACAGAGAATTATACAACTAGCTACATTAACACCAATGTAGATTTATGAAGTTTAATAAAAAAAACTAGAATACAGAGCAATATGAACTTTACATAAACTACATGTTAAAAGATGTCATACACATTCAAAACAAGTTACAACCTCACTAGTAGTATGAATTCAATCAATTGTGGTTGCAGAAGGATGATATTTACATCTTAACTTTAATAATGATCTATGGCAATCTTCAATATGGAAGCTAAATATAGCATGTTTAACATAAAATTCCTTAAAGATCATCAAATAAAATGTATTAGATACATACCTGAAAGACTGTGAACCCAAGGTAATACTCAATAAGAATGCAGCCTATGCTCCAAACATCACAAGGCTGAGACCAACCTAAAGCTATTCAAAACAAACACAGGCACATTACTATGGAACAACTTTAAACTGCTGACCCTTCCCTACATGTGGGTTGCTCATTAATCTACCTGGAGGACCACAATAGCAACCTTAGGATTTACAGTTTTAGTGCATGTGATTTAAACTGGTCCAGAACATGGTATTTGCTTTAATCTTTTAAGTGGAAGAATTATAGGTGAGTGCCAACTAGGCCCTGATTTAGTCACTTTTGATCATTCCACAGTGCTCACCACTGGAAAACATTTATTTACACCTGTAGACTGTAGAGCTTGGGCTCAGATAAAAGTTTTCTTCTTCAATTGGGAGATTAACTGCAGCCCTTCACCCCATTCCTGGCCGAACTTCTGATACTCTAGAACTTCATCTCACTTTTCTTGCCCTTTCCCTACATTACCTGATTGCTAACATCTAAGGCAACTAACTGCTTTCCCTCTACTGTAGCATCTTCCTCTCTAATCTCCAGAGTCCTTTTCCAGTGACTCCAACTTCTGATCCGTATCAACGATAACCCCGGGGTCTGTCCTGTTTCTAAGCCCCCAATTCTACCAGTGACTTCTAAGTTTTGAGGTGTAACATATACTCCCCAAAAACCTGCCTTTTCACTTCTAGTTTTCTCCCATCATGGCTAACTCAGACTCTTGCTTAATTCCATTTCTGCCTGCTCCTTGTTTATTTCATGTCGAGGTCAGCCAACCAAGCCCTTGGCATCTGTACCAGAGCCTTACTTTGGCAACAGAGTGAAAACAGGTGGCTACATAACCTCACAGTCACAAGAGGATGTTGCCCTCACTGAGCATACTTACGCTCACTTAAGGCTCACAAATCATCAGCACTCAAAATACCTTTCACAAATAGTCACACAGGACAAACACACAAAACTCTCCTTTGTATTCTGATAACATCATTTTTGTCAACTATGACCTTCAACAGTGAGAATATAAGGAAGTCTGTTGTTTACTAACCCAAAATGACCTCTGGAGCTCTGTAGTGTCGTGTGGACACCAAAGTACTATGATGTTCGTCATCATATGTTGCACTTCCAAAGTCAACAACTTTGATATCTGTGTTTTTCAATGTGCGCTCATCTCGTTTCTAGAGACAGTTGAGTAAAGATGAAATTCAGCAAGAACATAAAACATTCTATAGCACTACTCAAAAGGCTTGCAAACTGAATTCTCCCTCCTCCACCCTTCCTTCCCCTTTATCTCCAACTGGGATCATATATCCTAGTACTATTCCATCTGTGGTTGGACATCACACTACAAACAGGCTCAGAAGTGAAATTCCCCATTCAAGGATCTCCAAGCTAAATTAATTTTAAAGACAACACCCCATATTAAAACAAGACTTTAACTCACCATTTTAGAATTATATTTAACAACATAGTCAGACTTCACAAATAAAATATTTTCAGGTTTTAGATCCGTATGAGTTAATTTATTATGATGTAAAACTACAAAGAAAACAAAAACAAAACCATCATGAGTCTCACTTAGAAATTTTACTGGTGCTAGGAAAGTGATGAGAAGTGGATATGATGGTCAAAAGGGATTTCAGCTTTACCTGTATGTAACCTGCAAGTGTTCATATGCTGATTAGATAATAAAGACAATAAAATATACCATGCATCCAGCAATACTTACAATTTATAGATTGGCAGATCTGATAAGCCATTTGCCTGATGTGATCGATTTGAAATGGCAGAAAGCTATTTTCTTTAATAAAATCATAGGTACTAAGTCCCAGCAGCTCAAACACAATACAAACATGACCATGATGATCAAACCATTCTAGCATCTGGACACATCGGCTAAAAGAAGAGATCAAAATAATGACTGAGTGCATAGAATTAAACAGCTCACACAGTGTATGATGGCTTGTGGTTCAATGTGTACTTACAAGACACTGTTGGGGTCAGTGCTGTTCAAGTGCTCCAACACTTGTATTTCAGAGCGAGCTGCCTCCCGGTAACGGCCTACATTTTTTACAATTTTCACTGCTACGTGTAAGCCATCCCTTAAAAACAAGATGATGATGCTAAATATACAAGTGGTGGGATGAAACTACATACCCTGTGAAAAGCACATTCCTTTTTTTGCTTTGTTTCTGAGACAAGATTTTACTGTGCATACCTTAGGCTGGGCTCATTATGTAATGCAGACTGACACTAGATTCGTGATACTCCTACCTCAGCCTCCTAAAATATAATTGTAATTGTATTTCCCATATTATTGTTCTCAATCTTTCAGAGCACATAATACTAGGTTCCAGAACAACTTTTCAAAATAAAGCAAATGTCTATTAAAATTTTTAATTTGTTTCTAAAACTTTTATCTAGATTTTATTCAAAAATTTAAAAGTAAAATGCAAATGTATAGACTAAGAATCACAGTATGTTGTTGTTCAAAGCACTTGTTTACTTATAGGCTGGACCTCGTCTGTTTTAGAGACAAGGCAAAGGTGCTAGTACTGTAGAATGGGATTTATTCCTATATGCCTCAGTCTAATGAAAAAGACAGATGAGCACATTAAAACATTCTCACAGAAGAGATGAAGCCCCAACTATTCATACAATAAAACTGCAATTTATACAATACAGAATAGTTCTGAAAGATAGCTATGAGCCCGTTAAACTGGCAATAAAACAAACAAACAAAAAAATCAATAGCCAGATAAAGATAAGATACCACCTACAAGTTATGGAGCTCTCCCCACCCCAGTACGTCATAGACTCATTTTACGTGAGTATGTAGAAATAGCTCCACAGAGGGCAGTGGACTTTGGATTGACGCATTTCCAGGAATACTTCCTAAAAAAGTATTAACTCAGTATTTTGAGAAAAACCACAAACAACAGGATGAAAAGAAATTCATGGCTAAAACTTTTGGCTAGTGATTGAAGCAGGGTCTTATGCTAGGCCAGAGTTCTATACTAAGCCCAACAATAAAACATTTCCAAACTCAGTTTGTTTGTGGATGACAGACCAGCTATGATATTAAGAGTCACCAAATATGTTAAAGACATATAAACTTTATTTTCAAAACTACTGATATATATAGTAAGCTAAACAAACAAACAAACAAACAAAAAACTATACCCTTTCCCACTATTTCTAATGAAAAAAATTCAGATGTCATTTTGGAAATGTATAGCTTCAATAAAATTTTAATTAGTTCACTTCCAAAAATGTGGTAAAACTACAGAGCAGAGGTTCTAAAAGGACATGGTGTAATGAGGTAGATTAGTATATGTCATCAGAGAATAGAGACTTTATTCTGTATGTCCTAACAATCTGTAGTTCAGGAATTACACTTTAATATGCAAATTTGTATATACTTTATTGACTATGCAATCCCAAAGCAGCAGGATCCTACAGAACTTGATTGAGCATTTCTTTAATTACAGAATAACCTCTAACTAGGAGAAACTGCCACCATGCACAACAAAATTAATACTTATGGTATAAAAATTATATTGAGTTCCAGAAATTGTTAAATACCTCTCAGAAAAACTTATGGTAACCACTTAAAATACAATTTTAAAATACAGAATACAAAAAAAAAAAAAAAAAAAAAGAAAGAAAGAAAAAGAAAAGAAACGAAACAGTGGACTTACATGCCATGATCAATGCACTCTACAACTTTGCCAAAGGCTCCTTCACCTAAAGTGTCCACGATTTCATCTAAAGTGAGGGAGAGAAAGAGAGGTCTAAGTTCCCAAAATCAATTATCCAGTTGCTCAAACAATGAATGCTTAAGTGTGGCATATTTCCAAATGATCTCTAGCAAAGCATAACTAAGGTTTCATCGCTCAAGTTATTGTATTTTCAGCTGCTAAAAAGCAATTAGATAGAGCTATCTGTCTTGCTCTAATCTCAAACTCCACTGATTATTTTGGAATTTTAAGAATAGAAATATTTAAATTCTACAGAAAAGAAGAAATACAAAAGAACAAACAAACCCACAAAAAACAAAACAAAAAAGCAATGAAGAGTCTTTAGCCCCCCGCTGACAAACTATTCTTTAAAAGATTATTCTGTCTGCAAAGTTTAAAAAGTGTTGAAAAATATTCTATACATCTTGCTCTTAGAACGTCTCCACTTTGACAGATCAGGTGACCCTCCTCATCATCCTCTATACTCCTGGATCTTTTCCTTCGGTGGCTCTTCTGGAACGGCAAGTGGGCAGCACCAAGATCGTCCAGCCAATCAATATATCAGAGTGAATTCAGGGCAGAATACGCAATTCATTCAGCGGGGAGATATTCAGGCATTCAGATAAGCACCAGGCCACGAACAGTTGGCAGGAGCAATTTCAAATTCAGTCCCCAGAAATTCACAGGGCACAGTTTATGTTACAGAAGAAAAACATGGCAAGGAACAGATTTTCAGATAAGATACTTAAAGTGGCAATAGAAAAAAACAACACAATTGTCTTTTTAAAATACTGATTTAATTGAAGTCTGAAGTTTAAAGAATGCAATGTCACGATTTACTAATTTCTGCTATAACCATATGCTGTGAGTTGAGTTGTCTAGTTTGTCAGGAAAATGTCAAGATCAGTTGAAATTGTTCTCTTTTAGCAATATTTAAAAGTGGATATCATCATAAGAGGGGGGGGAGTTAAAGGCTAATAGCAGTCTTCACTGCTGGCTCTATAGAAAAAACCTGGGGGGGGAGGCAAATGATATCCCAAGGTTTATAAATTAAAGCTGTCTGACTTTCTCAGTACATTTTCACTCAGCACCCAGGTCCACAACTTCAGCAAAATTAATTGTAGACGATAATGTGCTGTACTAGGAGCTAGACTACACAGGAGTAAGCAACAGCTACGCACCCCAACAGTGTGATTTACTTCTAACTATCAGTAAAGCAGTTTCTTTCAAAATAAAAAATGTTTACATTCAAAGAAAAAAAATGGGTGCCTCATATTTTAATATACTACACAACCACAAAATTAAGATGTTTTTACTATTAAAACCAACAAACTCATGATCTGTTTTGCAGAATGAGTGTGTGGGCAAGTGAAGACTAGCTAATACATAGGAGTCAGCTATGAATGTGTACTTTCTTTACGGATTCAAGTAATATGAATATAATTACAGCACAGCCAAATTGCATTAAAGAAAATTTTAGAAACTTATCACTCTTTTAGAGCTTTACAAACAAGAATCCATTCAAAATAAAAACAAATCACTCATACCGAATGTGAATGATGACTTGCACAGTGTCTATTACGCTTTCTTTTAGGACTGCTTCTCCTGCTTCGGACTGAGGATTTACTGCAGTGGATCCGGTAAGTGCTTTCAATGTCTCTATGGTAATGTCTTGGAACATATCCTTCACAGTAGTCATTTCTGTATTCATCAATGTATCTCCGGTCCCGATAATCTCTCTCATTCAAGCATCGTGCTTCTAAATAGTGACTGCAAACACATTAAAAAAATTTCAAATTACTTTCTTCATTCTGGAATAATGTGGTTCAAACAAAACTCTTGGTTTAAACAGCTAACTCAATAAAAGGAAAAATTCAAATCAATGAGATGTAATTTATACTTATCTAAGAAAGCTTAAATAACTTTAACCAAACAGGTCCATATTTTTCCATATAAAATTGGTATAGCCAGGCATGTAGGCACATGCCTGTAATTCCAGCACTGAAGGTGAGGGCAGGAGGATCAAGAATTCAAAGCCATCCTGAGGTACACTGCAAGTCTGAAGCTAGCCTGGGCCACATGAAACCATCTCAAAAAACAAAACAAACAAAAACAAAAACAAACAAAAAAACCAAAAAACAACCCTCACAAACAAAAACCCCACATACATTAGAAAATTGCTGTCAACTACTTCATACCAAGGAACAAAGCTTCAATATAATACGCTGACAATTATATGTTCCTTTACCATCTGAAAAGTAAAGACCAAACTTGCAAATCTGTTCTGAAATGCACTGATTGTACAACACAGGCATCTGAAACTTCCTTTTCCTCTCTCAGAGCCACACATTTAGAGAAAGGCAAAAGAATTCCTTTCCCTTTAATTAAGTGCATTTTAGATGTCCCTGATAGAGACTTCTATATTGTGTATCACAGATATGAAGAGCTTTAAATGTGTTTCAGCCCTTTCATTTACTAACTCAACTAAGATCCCTAATGGTTACACCATTGTTGCAGAGCACACTAGTGGCAAAACCCGAGATATTTTCAAACTGCTACTACCCTTCATGTCACCTATTCTAGCTCCTCTTTTCTATATGTAAACTTTCTGTTACTCCTGTTTGAGAAACAGACACCAGAACTTCTGAGGCCTGCCTAGTGTGCCAACACGTCTAAAACAGACCCTCCACACAAGAAAGGGTCCAGGACTGTGGTCATTCTCACACTCTACTTGCCTTTCTAATTTCCTGTGACTTGTACTTGAAAAAATACCCAAGAAATAGAAAACAGCATTTTCTAGTGCCACAGTGTTTCTACAGATCCCTTTGAGAACCTGATGGGAGTTCTGGACCCTTTTCCAAGAAACATACAAATGCATAAACAAAACTTGGCAAGAACTCCATGAAGGTCATGGCCCTCAGAAGTCAATGGATCCCAGTTGAGTGTCCTGATCTGATGGAAAAAAAAAAGGACAGATTCAATTGGCCCAGTTTCCCATCCCCCCTCTACCTGGGATGAGTGTCCTCTTCAATAGAGTGCGAAGCTTCAAGAGGGATGCACATGGAGCACTGAGGGAGAGAGGGGACACCTGCCCAGTCAGACAAGTCAGCTAAATAATCCTGACAAGCAATGGAGTGATAGATGTTGCTGTGGCTGCCCCGCCAACCCCTTTACACTCCCCAGAATATGATGTCATTTTCTTTCCCAAGTGCTGGTTTAAGCAGAAATAGAAACATCCCTAGGGCTACTATCCAACAGGACTGTCTAATTCAGGCTGGGCCTTCTTATTGCCCAGCATCATTCTCAAGTTTTCCTTAATCTCTGGAGAAACAACTCAGGCTATTAGGATTAAACTCTGGGCCCAAGACAGTTGGTCTGAAGCATAGATCTAGGTGAAAAAACAAGCTAGTCATAATTCTAAGGGCATTCCATTAACTTGACAAGGTATCACACACCCACACCCACCAAATCCAAAGTCTTACCTTAAAAAAAAACTAGACTAATAATCTTTAACTGGAATACTATGTGAAACTGGCCCTGCTGACAATCCAAACCAATCTACCAACAATAAAAAATGGGGTGGCGATGTACTATCATGAGCTAGCATGAGAAGGACCTTCCCAATTTATGACAAGCAAAGACCAAAGGTTAAGAGATTAAAGACTACAGAATTATACAAGCTATGGGACAGGGTAAACAGAAAATGAACAGATTTGATTTTTTTAAATATCCACTGAATGCCCAGTGAATATTTCATTGTAGCTTTTTAAAACATCTAAAACAGTTGAGTGCATTGACCCCCCCGCACATACACATACAGGTCCTGTGGGAGATAAAATAAAATCATATAAGGCAGTCTCTGCCAACAAATGAACAACTTAAATTACTCTCGAGGAAAAAAAAAATCAAAATAGACAAATGCAAAAAATGTTGAAAAGGAGCAAATGAATGCTTAGACTCAGGGAAGGCAAAGAATTCAATTTGCTTAAAATGATTAAGGAAGAATTCATGACAAAGACCGGAAGCAGATAAGCAATGTAAAGGAAAGCCAGGATTTGGACAAAGTGGAAAGTAGAAGAAATTCCAGAATAGCACAGTGCCATCTTATACTTACACAGACAGCACCACCAGCCAGAGGCCTAGAATGCATCTACACTTTACTCTGCAGACAGCAAGTAGATGACTGCACCAAGAACCAATTTTCACCTAGGAGACTATGTCACTAGAAGCCCTGCACATACCAAACTAAAGGTGTTTTTGAAAGGACAGCCTACTAGCACTAATACTCAATCTAGTTTATAAATGAGGACCCAGGTCACACTGAGTCTAACTATAAGTCTGCATACCTCCTAGGTGATTTCCAGTCATACAGAGTTTATCAAAAGTTTAAAATTCTATAATCTGTGTTACAAGGAAACATCGAAGTATTTGGCCACAACATATAAAGATTTACAGCCTTGTTGGTCTTCCTGGTATTTGAGGCAGAATATATTAAGCCTGCTAAAAGGGAGACTCACAGGCTACTGCCAAAAGACAAATCAGGAGAAAAAGGCTTTATAATGCATATGACAAAGCGTTAAAATAATTACTATATAATAAAAACAGCTTGTAAATCAGTAAGAAAAAACACTAACCAAAAAAAAAAAAAAAAAAAAATCGACATAAAAACTTCATAAAACAGTGAACAAATTCACTAGAAATTTAGAAATTCAGATTAAGAAAACCATTTAAAACAGACGACACTAGAGACAGCATGAAGGAGCACGTTATAAGCGTTCTAGAAAAGTGAGACTATGCAGAAAAACCTTGTAAGGCTTCATACCCTTTAACTTGAAAATGCCTCTTCTTAGAATCTACTCAGGAAATAATCACAGGTAAAGATTTGTACACAAGGACCCTTCAGGAACAGACAGTAAGAAATAATTCAGTCAAGTAATGGGCAACGGCATCTTGCTACTTCCTTCCTTACACTTTGCTGCTTCTTCAATTTCCCAGTAATTTTATTAAAATATCCATAAAATTTTTTGGCTTTCAAAAAGACTTTTTATAATTAATAAGTATCCTGAATTATATGAATAAATAACCACCACCAAATCTGTCTGGTGTCAATGTCAAAGATGGTAATACTGCTTAGTGGTTAATTGGTCTAACTGCTTTCTACAGTTAGAACACAAGTCACTCAAATCAACCTTTTCATATATATAATATACACTAGCACTATGAATAACTAGTTTTAGGATGGTTAGCCTTAAAACCTATCTTGTACTCATTAATAATGGAGTACAATTTGTATAGTGTTCATTAATAAGGTCTGAATCTCCCCATAAACCTTACCCAGCACCCTTATTTTTTAACTGTTTGATAGAACATGATTAGTTTACATAAACTACAAACAAGCTCTTTGGCAGACAACTCTGTTTAGGACGGAGAAGGAAAAAAAATTACATACTGTTTTTTAAAGTAACCCCAGCTGGCTAATTTAGTAAGCAATCTGGTAAACAGCCCCAATGGAACATCTGTACAAACAAGGAGAAAACATAGAACCAACAAAAGAAATGAGAAAGAAAAATTAATGGAAGGCAGAGTGAAAAAAACTATTCACCTAATCTTTCTTTACTATGTAGAACTTTAAAATTCTTTTAATTCTATATTAACACAATGCCTCCAAATTTTATATAATTAAGAATAAAATAAGACTTATCACAAATTTTTATTGAGGCTCTATCCTAAATTACCAGAGAATGCCTATAGAAAGAAACAGTTCTCTAAATGTAAAGCAAATTTCTAAAAGTCTCGGACATACCCACCCATTCGTTTTCTTCTCTATATATACATGTAGAACATGAGTGCCTAATCCCCAAAGCATTTTAATGTTGCTTTTCTCATTTGGATTAACCACTCTCTATGACATCTTAATTGTGAAACACTTCTTGCACACCCTATCTATCTACCACTTTCCTATGGACAATACCACTCACTGGGTATCATTATTTAACTTTGTATATGTTCTTGAATATATTCTTTTGCCTTCCCTCCCTTTTTGATGGAGGGGTTTCTAAGGATTATTAGGACCTCACACATAGTAGGCAGCAAGTGTTCTAGCATCGAACTACAAAATCAACGTCCTTATTTTTCACTCACTTGCTGAACAACTGTCTCCCACCAATCCCAGATAGACATAGGATTGATATTTTATTCACAGCTATAGTCTTCAGCAGAATAGAAACTAGCCTATAATGACACTTTGTAACTGTGTTTTGAATGAATTCCAAGTTTGTTAAGTGCTACACAAACAAATGAAAAATGTTAAAACGTAAAATACAAGTCATTTACCAATCAGAGTCTTTAAACTGATGATGCGGTTTACAATGCCTGTTCTCTTGAGTACTACTGTGAGATCTCCTCTTCCGTTTGTGACTTCCACTGTAGCTTTCATGGCCCCAGCTTTCTCTGCTATCCCAATCAGGACAGTGAGTTCGTTTGGAATGCCGCATCTGTTAATGAGGAGGGGGCAAAGGGTGAACTGAAAAGCTAAAGATGACTGTATTGTTATACACTGACATTGCTTAAATATGAATACCTAGTGCACAGGGTCATACAGGCTCTTAAAATCTTTTTAGGTACATTTCCCAAAGCTTAGAACACAGTAACACTGCTATGTGAGATGACTGTTGAATGGAACTGACCTAATACTAAATGATGGACAGCATGGAGTCTTTAATACTACGAAGTACAAGGACAAATTCTCAAGTTAGTGTTTGCCTTCAGAAATACCCATTAACTTTACTTTTTTTTTCCCCCCCCCAGACAGGGTTTCTCAGTTAGCCCTGAGTGTCCTGCAACTTAATCTGTAAAACAGACTGGCCGCAAACTCAGAAATCTGCCTGCTTCTGCCACTCAATTGCTTGTATTAAAGGCATGTGTCAATGCACCTGGCTATCCTTTAAAAAAAAATTTTAAGGGCCAATTAAAATTGCTCAAGGGCTGGAGGGATTACTTAAGTAATGTGCTTGCTGTGCAAGTATGAGGTGATTTCAGATCACTCATACCTACATAAAAAGCCAGGCACCACAGCACAGAACTATAACTCCAGACCTGGGGGGTAGTGGGGCATATGGATCCCTGAAACTCACTGGCTAGCCAATCTAGATTAAATGGCAAGCTTCAGGTTCAATGAGAGACCTTGCTTCAAAAATAATATGGAGAGCCATGGAGATATCCCATGTTGACCTCTGGCCCACACACAAACCTAGAAAGTATATGTGCAACCCCAACACACAAAATCATTAAAGTGTTTAAGCAAAAACATTATTTCTGTTTCCTTCTATTTATGCTGAGTTTTAAAATTAGGTCACTTCAAATGTTGACAATTTTACCAACTGAGCTACATTCCTAGCCTCTCAATTTGAATTTGAATTTAAAAGTCAAGACTGAAATGAATGCACACAGATTTTACTTTATTTTTCCCTTTGAGAGAGGGGGTTTCTTTGTATAGCTCTGGTTGTCCTGGAACTAGCTCCACAGGCCAGGCTGGCCTCAAACTTAAGAGATCCACCTGCCTACAGCCTCCTGAGTGCTGGATTAAAGATGTGCTAACATTTATCCTTTTTGTTTAGTTCCTAACATTTATCTTTTTTATACCACCTCCCAGGCAGATTTGAATATAAGAACAGAACCTATACTATAGTTAGGCAAGTCTATCCCAATAGAATCACAAATGTCCTTCAGCCTGGTAAAATGTCCAATCCTTAATAGGAGGCATGGCTAGTGACATTATGTAAAGGCAACAATTCCCAGGCTTCATTTACAACCTCCTTTGTACAACATGGACTTATCCCAGGCTCAGTATCTAACATTATCCTTTTTACATGTGTGATTGCTGCATGACAGTGTTAATGTGTAGGACATGGGACAACTTGCCAGAGTTAGTCCTCTACTTTCATCACGTGGGTCTCAAAGATCAAGGGTTCATATCTTTACCCACCTAATGATCCTGGTCCCCAAAGCAACTTCTAAACAATTAATTATATTTTAATGGGGGAGGGGAGATTTGCACATTAGTGCAGTGTGCCCATGGAGGCCACAAGAGGGCATAGGATTCCCTAAAGCTGTAGTCAAAGCTCAGGTCCTTTACAAGAGGGGTCAGTCTCTCCAGTTCCACAGTTAATTCTTTAATTCTGAGCTCTGCTAATCAGAGTTTAAATGGTTTGGGTGGGTGGGTGGGTGGGTGGCTGGCTGGGAATCACAACTTAGCAAAGAAGCTGCATAAGGCCCAAACTGAGCAAAACCAATTTAGGTGACTGCCTTCAGCTTGCCTAAATGACTGAAAAAAAAATGAACAAACAAATCTATTAAACCCCAGGATGAAAAGAAGGAAGTTTCAGCTCTCCTCCAAAGTGTTCCTAAGAAAGGGTGTACATCATACCATCAGGGTATGATATCAATATTCTTTTTTTTTTTTTTGTCCTGACTACTGAGATTGTAATAGGAAGAGGAGGTTCCTAATTGATTGGCAAGGACTCTACCATTATACCTATACCTCCTGCCCCCAAATTCAGTAAATTATATTCTTTTTTCTAATTCTATATTTGTCAGGCATCTTTCTGATAATGTGGCTTCTCTTTTAGCTCAGTTAAAAAAGAGAGCATGGATTAAACCACACAAACACAAAAATATCTTAAATTCTTGTTAGATTATCTCAGTAAAAGTAAGTCAAGCATTTCCTTTGACACAGTCATTTTAATATGGCAAAGTAAAATAAACAACACTACAAATTTACTTGAATCAAAAGCCAAAACTCAAACTTCCTTCAGAGAAGCACTCATTTTTCTATTTCTATTGGAATTCTACTGACACATTCCTTTTATTATCAAAATTGCATTTTAACTACATTTGATTAAACCTTTTCTCTGTTTGTTTGGGTACTGAATTCTGAATCTCAAGCCATACTAAGTACCACCACCAGGCTACAGGCTTCTAGGTACTCGCAATAACAGCAGGCAAATTTAGAGCTCTGATGACTCATCATTATGACCGTCCACTGCAGGGTTTCACAAGACTTAGGTGCTTGCTTCAAGCTCACTCGTATTTCACACTGCCTCAGCCAGTTTACCTCTTACATGGCAGAATTCTCAAATTATCAAGTTAGCAATATGCAGACATTAAAAAAGGAAAGGAATTCTTGTGAGAGCCCAAGAGCTGCAGCCCTCCAAGTTAGATTCACTACTTAAAATCTAACAGTTGGTCCCAGTCCCAACAGCCCTGCTGAACATCCCCCATCCCTACTTCGATCTCCAGGAAAAATCAGAAATAATTTCCATGGTCAGGTGTGGTGGCACACTGCAGAGGCAGAGGCAGGTGGCGCTCTGAGGAAGACAGCCTGCTCTACATGGTGAGACATGGTTACAAACAAACCGACACAGAGACATTTACTTACAAGGCAAAGTAAATGACTTCTGGGCTCTTACGAGATTAAAGTTCCTTCTCATACACAGGAAAGAAAAGCTATCTCAAAATATTACATTATCTCTAATACTTAAAAAAAAAAACAACAAAAAACAGAAAACTCTACACGCTAGAATCCTTGTCTTTCAATATTTTTATTTTTATTTTATCTTTTTAGATACAAAGGTACCCCTATGTATTTATGTCCATATTAGCAATATGATTCTCCACCACCCCTTAAAAAACCATATGGTGCCTGGCAACTGCATGCCAATCTCACAGATTACAAAAACATCAAGATGCAAGTTTCGTTCTCCAAGAGAGGGCTGCATTATTTTTAAATGGAGAACAAGGAGCCCTCGGGTGCGTGTCCAAGGTTAGGCCAAACATCAGCAGCTCTAACAGACTAGCGGTCCACTGGGTCGGGAGGGCTGTCACAACGCAAAGGCCAAGGTTCGTTTTCAGCAACGTCGGTAGGGGTATGGGGGGGGGAGTAAAAAAAAACAAACAAACACAAAACAACAACCCAACAGGCTGGGCGTGGCGGCACTTGCCTTTAATCCCATCACTCAGGAGGCCGAGGCAGGAGGATGTCTGCCAGCCTGGCCTACACAGCTCTGCGACGGTCGGGGCGACCCGAGGGTGTGGGCGCGCGCGCGCGTGTGCTGCGGTGGGGTGGGAAGTGACCGCCTGGCCTAAAGGACGAACCTCCCTTTCCCAGCGTGTTCCTCGGGGCTGGAGGTGAACGCCAGCCACCCGGGCCGCCGCAGTGGCTGCGCCACCTCCCCCGGGCAGCGGGCCAGGGCCTCTGGCGCAGCCAGCCGGGGCGACCCTCCGACCCCGGGAAACCCTCCGGTGACGCGAACGGCCGAGGCGGCCCGGAGGGGGCTAAGGGGCGACTCGGGTCCCGACGACGCCGGCGCCGGGGACGCGCCCCGCCAAGGCCCGCCGGCGCCCCGGCAGAAACGGCGCCTCGGCTCGAGCTGCCGGCCGCCACCGCCGACGGAACGCGGGGCCTGCGGGCCGCGACCCGAGCGGCGAAACCGCGGCGGCCCGGGGGCTGTCGCCGCCGGCTGAGGGGCGCCCCGCCAGCCAGCCCCGCGGACGCATCCCCGGCCGCCCGCGCCCCCAGCTCGCTCTCTCCTCAGACAGCTCCGCGCCACCCTGCCTGCCTCACCTCCGCAAAAGCAAAAGGCCTTCTGGCCGAGAAATGTCGCCAAACCGCCGTCGTTCCTCTCCAGCCGCTGCGACAAACACCGACAAAATGGCGTCCGCACCGTCACCCACAACCTCCTCAGGTGGATCTAGCGCCACCTACGCCGAGCAAGCGCGCATGCGTCACGGAGCCGCGTGCCCGCCCACAGAGCCTGCAAGGAGGCCGGGTCTGTGACGTCAGAACGGGGGTGGGGCTTGGTCGTCCACACTGTGGCTGCGGGGCCCCGGCCGCCCCTGTAGGACGGGCGTCTGTTCAGTTCTTAGGTGAAACTGGAGGGCCGCCCTGAATCTGTGGCTGCTGTCAGCCTCTTGAAGGGTTTTGCTAGGAGTAGCCGCGAGGCGCTCAACCTTTCAGTCACCTCAGTCCCAGGTCGAGCCACCAGAGTGCGGAGTCCCCAGACGCTCTGTGCTAGGGCAGCTCAGTGACCAAGTTATGTTAGTCGCCCAGCGCTTCCGCTCTAAACTGGATTTGAAGAAGTTTCCCTGAGTAGGTCTCTGAAGGCAAGCTTAGGTGCTTACCCTTTCGAGGCGTTCGCCGCTCAGCCAGCAAATCAAAAGGAATGGGTGTAATGATATATAAATTATACGCGGCTGTGAACGAACATTACAATGGGCAAGTTTGTGCCACGACTTCCGACAGTGTTCTTCCTGTTATGACCAAGGCATATTACAGCTACTCAACAGACATTTGTGGCCGGAAGACAATACTTCTAAGATATATATATATATATATATATATATATGAGACAGAGAGAGAATATACATATGCATATATATTTTAAAATAGATATTATATAACATAATATATAAATATGTATATTTTAAATTTCAGAGAATTGGGCTTTTGTGGTGCAAGCCCATAATCCCATCACTTAGGATTTAGGGGCTGGAGGATTAAAAATCTAGGTCATTATGGTTCTACATAGCAAGTTCAAGGCCAGCCTCGACTACATAAGATCAAAACTCAAAAAAACAAAGCTTTCTGAAAACCCAACACCATAAATACTGCCTAAGCCAGTAGGACTGAACTTCTGGTCCTTTTTCCCCCAAGAGCTGGGATCATAAATATGAGTTACCATGCCCACAATAATTAAATCCTCTATGACAACCACTTTATAGACAGTGTCTTTTAGTAATCTAGACAACCCTAAGAGGGTGATTGTTAACTCCTTGTTCTAATTACAGGTTGAACTGCTGGAAATGCCATTCAACCTCAGCCATGCTAGCTCCAGAGAGCTACTGTTTTTGTTGTCATACTGACTGCTTCATTCCATGTAACAAAGCTGAAAACAACTTACTTTTCTTAGTCCTTTAGAGGAAAATATCCTGAGTCCATCTTTTGGCAAAGGCCAAAAGGGTCTGTCTTAAAAAGCCACTTTTCAAGGTAGTTTGTCCCTGAAGCCCCCATGATGAAACAATGAATCATCTCTAGCAAAGATGATTAAAGGCTGCACCATGAGTCACAATGGCTCTCCCAGGCATCCCCACTGCCCAAGATGGACATTCCCTCAGTTTCCACCAGGATCCCTAACACTTCCTGAGGAGAAAGTCGAACAGCACACAAGTAACCAAGATTCAATCAAACACAACAGTGTTGAAAGCATCTCTAGTCCCAGTGTACTTTGCAGTGTGTATGTGAGGTGGGAGCGGAACAGGCAGGAAGTAACTGAATTCCGGCCATTTCCGAGGGAACACAGGACTGCCGTGGACTGCTCCTTTAATGACTTTCATCTGTCTCTCTTCTCTCCTTCCCCTCCTTCTCTCTCCTCTTCTACCCCATCTCACTTTTGATAGTCATTGTATAGCCAGAGCTGACCTGGAACTTATTTATCCCAAGCTTGCCTAGAACTCACAGACATCGTCCTGTCTCAGCCTCCTAATTGCTAGGATTACTGCTGTGAGCTATTAGGTCTGACCCATCAGTGATCGGGTCTCAGGGCCAGGTCACAGATGCATGTACCTTTTGGAAATAGCTGCCAGGGGAATTTAGTCAGCCTTCAGGACTCCTCAGGACACTGGCTCTGGAAATTACAGGAGATAAACCACTTACCAAAACTTTAAGTCATGCCCAAAAGTTTATGGAGAAGAAAGAATTCCTTGACAGACTTGGTAGTGGATTCTTAGAGTATCCATTCTCCCATCAGAGCAGAAAACTGGGAATTAAACTCAGAAAACTGGGAATTAAACTGAGGTCATTGACACTTTCACATGTCCCAGGATGGAGTTCCTGGGAATTAAATTAGTAGCTAAATGTTTTGTTAACCTCTTCAAGTTGATCACACATTACTCTATCACCCTGTCCCTACATTAATCTAATTAAATTAAAAAGTTAATTGAATATATCTAGAGACTATGCAGGGTTGGGGTGGTCTGTGAACCCATGCTACAGCACAAATTTGGCAGTAAGAGGAAGACTTGGAAAAGTCAGTTCTTTCCGTCCACAATGCCGGTCCTCAGGATCAAAATAAGATTGACAGTCTTGGTAGAAAGCATCCTTACTCACTGAGCCATCTCCTGCATCCCTCCTGTCAATTATTTTTAATTGAATAAAATCAATGGTGCTGGCTAAATTAAAAAAAAAAAAATCCCAAACACCAAGATCAGTGGTAGCCTAGAGCTGGAAAAGCAGCATGAGAGAGCTAGAAGGTGGAGAGTTGTGTGAAGGTTACCTTAGGCTATACAGTAAGTTCTGGGTCAACCAGGACTACATGGGACCCCACCGCACAAAAGAAAGCAACAAAATTCCGCTTAGTGAATTTTCTCAACGTTTAAAATGTATTGTTCTTTTCTCAGTTGGCAAAAGGCTTGCCCAGCATGCATGCTCCCAGAGGGACCATGGTATTGGAACTGAACAAACAAGAAGTAGGGAGACAGAGAGGGGGAGTCTGCAGGGTGGAGGTCTTTCCAGCCTGGCAATGAGGGAACCAGTGGAGGGTAGCTGCCCTATCACACTCTCAGCCAGCATGCACCTCACTAGGAAGGATTTGAAAGGTAAATGTAGGAGAGAAAAGCCAGGGAGGTCACCATCTTCTCACCAGACCCTGGGCAGCGCCTCTGTATAAGAACAGGACAAACGTTCACTCCTTGATCTTCCTGTTTGGCCTCAAGGACTCTAGTCCAGATCCTACAGGCTCAGCAGCAGGTGGAAACAGTTTCTTTAGCTCTTCCTCAGGCGGAGGTGATAGAGCCTCTGGGAAACCGCTCTGGACTTCCTGTGCCTCTCCCTTACCTGGGAGGTCAGCTTCCTCTTTAACTGCTTCCCAGTACTGCAGGAAGGCCCTGATGTTTTAGTCACTCCATGATTTGAGGGAAGGACCTGCAAAGGATGAAGGAATGTGATGAGTGCATTTTTGGGTCATGCACATCTGAGAACTTCTTAGGGACCCTTCCTGCATGCTGGCCAGCCAGACCTGGCCTTAGGCACCTTGGAAAGATTACGAAGATTCATTAGGAAGCACTTTGATTCAAAGTCAGAAAAGACCGGACTTTCATGGGACACTGGTTACCTAAGAAAGCTGTCCTGAAGTGGGGGATCACATCCAACTGGCCTCACTTTGAGCCTCTTGCAGCCTCTGGGCCTGGACATGTGAGATACTAGAACTGTTTTCACACACTAGGAATCTCCTAGTCACAGACTAGTGAATGGATTAGATAATTAACTCCTAGCTTCATTTGCAAAACAAGAAATTCTCTTTCCCCCCATATTTATTTATTAATTTATGTAATCACTTTACAGCCTGATCCCAGCCCCCTCCCTCTTTTCCTCCCAGTCCCACCCTCACGCTCCCCTTCCCCCATTCCCTTTTTCTTGGAGAAGGGGAGGCTTCTCCAGAGTACCAACCCACCCTGGAGGCTCAGGTCACAGCAGGACTAAGCACATCCTTTCCCACTGGGGCCTGACAAGGCCAGCTAGAGGGGAAAGATCCAGGCAGGTAGGCAACAGAGTCAGAGACAGCCCCTATGAGGGCCCACGTGCTGACCAAGCTACACATCTGCTACATATGTATAGGGGCTCTAGGCCGAGTCCGCCCATGCTCTTTGGCTGGTGATTAGTCTGTGTGAGCCCCCATGGGCCCAGATTAGTTGACTCTGTAGGTCTTCTTGTGGTGTCCTTGACCCCTCTGGTTCCCTCTATTCTTTCTCCCACTCTTCCAAAAAAATACCCAAGTTCAGCCTATTGTTTGGCTGTGGGTCTCTGCATCTGTTTCCATCAGCTGTTGGATGAAGCCTCTTAGAAGACAGTTATGCTAGGCTCCTGTCTGCAAGCATATGCCGAGTATCATTAATAGTGAAAGGGGTGGGCCCCAATTTGGGCTAACCATTGGTTTGGCATTCCCTCAATCTCTGCTTCATCTTTATCCCTACACTTCTGTATCGAAGACAAATTTTGGGTCAAAAGTTTTAAGGGTGGTTTGGTGTTCCCCTCCTTCTGCTGGAAGTCCCACCTGGCTACAGGAGGCGGCTACTTCAGGCTCCTTATCCTGGCTGTTAGGAGTCTCAGCTAAGATCACCCCCATAGACTCCCAGGAGCCCCCCTTGTCCCAAAGACGCCTCCCCACAAAATAATTTCTGTTCTTGCTCCCAGTCCTCACCCCCCAATCTCCCCACATCTGATCCCCACCTCCATTACCCTCTCCACCCCCTATCCAATGCAGTTCCTTCCCTCCATCTACTTAAGGTGTCAATTTTATTTCTTCTTCTGAGTGAGATTCAAGTATCCTTCCTTGGGCCCGTGGATTGTGCCTGGGCTATTGGTGTTGTATTCAGGAAGCTGTCTCCTGTGCAATGAGTTTAAGGCTGATCCCTACTTTTTTTTCAATTAGATTTAGTGTATCAAGCCAGGCATGGTGGCATGCCTTTAATCCCAGAACTCAGGGAGGCAGAGGCGGTGGATTTCTGGGAGTTCGAGACCAGCCTGATCTACAAAGCAAGTCCAGGATAGCCAAGGCTACACAGAGAAACCCTGTCTCAAAAAAAAAAAAAAAAAAAAAAAAAAAAAAAAAAAGATTTAGTGTATCCAATTTTATGTTGAGGTCTTTGATCCATTTGGACTTCAGTTTTGTACAGGCTAGTAAATATGGATCTGTTTGCATTCTTCTACATATTGACATCCAGTTAGACCAGCAATATTTGTTGAAGATGCTTTCTTTTTTC